TAATAATAATAATGATAATAAAGATGATGATGATTGATGATGATTGATAACAATAACAATAATAATATAATTGATAATAAAGATGATGAAGATGATGATGATGGATGATGATAGTGATGAATGATATGATGATGATGATGAAATGATGATATAATAATAGGAGAGAAGAAACAAGAATGATGATAATAAATGATAAATATTATTCATTTTTATAACAATAACCATAATGAAAAATAATAAAGCCCACTAAGGACAACAATAACAACACTAATAGCAGAACTAAGAACACAAAAGAATAACAACAACAAAACACAACGGAATACGATATTTCCCATCGTTCCGGTCCGGACACAAAAGCACATAAAATAAGCGGCGCCGCATTTTGCATTCGGCCGATCGCAGCGAGGGAAAATAAGGAGAACAGAACCGCTGTGCCGTTCTCTCTTTCGTCGATACTCAGCCAGCGAGGTGTCATATCCATCATGGTTCGGGCTTCCGGGGCTTCACAAGCTATCGGGAAAACGGAGAAAAGCGAAACCCAAAAGAATCATTAGATCAACCTGTCAATTGGTTCGAAGGGAAGATCGGGTTTCGGAAGCCGGGGGGTTAGAGGAAGGACGCGGGATTATCGAATGGGGGGTGAGCGAGGCTGTAAGGAATTCGCGGGCTACGGTAAGGGCTATGGCGGAGGAGTGGGGGCAGGGGGGGCGATCAGGGCGGAGAAGCTGGATTTCGACAGCTTAGAGTCCGGACGAACTGTGTAGGAGTTGGGATTGAGGAGGTGCAGGGGTAGAGGTAGAAAGGAGGAAACGGAAGGTTTGGGAGTAGTGGAGTGCTCGGAAGAGGGAAAGGGAGTGGAGGGTATTTGTGTGTGGTGTTCAGTAGTGCATGTGAATGTCGCGTGTGGTGGAATTTGAGACTGAGAAAGACGAGTGTTTTAGGCACACAAAGCAGACAACACAGCAGAGACAAACAACCAACGTGGAACCCTCTGTTACCGTGGCAACAAGTTAATACGAGATAGTCAAAACATCGTAATAAACCATAACGCTGGAGAGGTTGGAATGGGCGGTAGGAAAACAACATAAACTATCAGCCTGGCAGTCTATCATAGTCGCAGGGGGCATGGAAGAGGGGATAGGATAGTTAGGGAGAGATAGAAAGATAAAGGTATGTGACGAATGAGGAGATCACAGGACGCGAAGAGAGGACGATAGGAGAAAGATGATGGATGAGGATGCCAAGCAAGACGAGATGGTAGGGATAATCGCACCTGCAGTGAAGATGCGTAAAGCGCGGTCACAATATTTATGCAGTTATGCCCTTGAAAATAGATCTGAGCGCTCGCCTAGATTGCTCTTGGGGCTATCGTCCTTTTTTTCTCTTTCTCTGCTCGAAAGGCTCTATAATGTAGAAGGTAATAATTCGTAATATAATCAGACCCAGACAATTTTACTCACTTTTCTTTTAAT